GAGCAAAGCCTCTAGGAATGTGGTATATTCATGCAGTGAAAATTCTAAAAAACACCTGGCTGGTTCTAGATTTTCTGTAGCCATAATCAGATGCACCTGTCTGGGGGCTCACATTTTTCCTCTCCTGGAGCCTGACCACTGTTTGTTTTTGTGAGCTCCACAGAGATGCAAAAGAGTGGCATTCCGTTTTCAGTCAGTCTTATTTTAGACACTTTAGAGAACAGAGAAGAATCTCTGTATCTTTGTTCTTACAGTTAATTATTTTCTGTTTTAAAACAAATGTACCGTTTGGATTTTTTTCAGCCTATCGTGTTTGCTTTCTTTCTGTTTTTCTTTTGTAGCTATTGTAGAGCCATTTAGTCTTCTCCATACATTCTGCTGTCATGCACCTCCAACACTGCAATCAAATAATTTCTCAACCTTTTTTTAAACTAAAGATTACACCGTTTGATAACTTAGGAATTAACTGTAGTTCCTTCAGCACTTAAATAAATTTTCTTCTTCTCAGTACTTTTTTTTTTTTTTTTTAAACTAGAAGGGAGAAAAAGAACTTTCTTCAGAAATGTGCTTACAAGAATTTTGTATATACTCTCTCATTAAATGCATCATTTACAATTAACAGCTTGGCGAACTGTAGATTTAGTAATTAGTTGTCCTTGGATTTTTGTATGTATTGAATGGACTTGATGCCCTGTAGTCTCACAAGACCAATATGGTGTTACTGGTTGGTGTGGGCTGGTCAGGGAAGAGGGAATTAACCTGTTTGCAGATATAAGAAAGATATGCATGGACTTGGTGCACATTACTGCTGTGGTTTCAAGAAACTTACAGTGACAGATTGAAGGCATGGTGGCTGGTAAGAACATGGCTTGGGCAACTACAGTTTGAAGTATGCAGTGCCTTCATGATAGCTTCAGGTTCAGGGAAGCAATTTCTCTGAGTAGTGAGCCTCCTTGTCTGTGAGAATACTAATGGGCCTGGTAATTCCATGTTTATTACTTCCTGGTAGTATATTGATCACTGCTTTTTCCATTCTGACCTTGTTGCTGCTCAGGATCTCGCAAGCTTTAGACTGCATTAATGCAGATTGTTTGCTGCAAACAATACAGATCAGCTGACAGCATCAGGCTGTAATGGATGTAGCCATTTGCTGCTAACCTAGAGGTGCAGGCAGGAGTCATGCTATCCCTGTCCTTCTCTCACTGGCATTAATTTTCCTGAGTTCACAGCCTTGGTTTTGATCAATTATTCTAACCCTCTTTTCAATGTCTTCCATAATAACAGCACATGATGGAGAAGGGCTGAGCGTAGAGATGAAATGGGATGCAGTTGTCTGAAAGCCGTTATGCAGCCCTTCATTTTCTTGGATATAAAAACCTACAAATCTACAGTTAATTTCAGCTGTAAATTGTGTGTTAGCTCTTCTGAAGTTATCAATCTGATCTTTGGCATTAGCAGCAGATGTCACACCTCTCTTCCAATAGCTTTTGGTTGGTGTAGTGGAAATGACCCAGTGATTGAGCACCTGATGGGAAGGCAGGGCCAACCCAGGAGAGCTCAGCTGTATGCAGTGTATCTGAGTGACCAGAAGTGGTGGAGCCAGGATCCACCTCTTCCCAGACCTCATTTAAGTGTCAGCAGTAGAGACAAGGGTATCTTGTTGGAGGTTCCTGTGTACTTGAAGTCTTCTAGATGTAAGCAGCTTCTTTTCTTTATGTCTGTGCTAGAGTTTGTTGTGTTTGAGTAAGTCTCACTTGTGGTAGTCTAGGACTTTGCTATTCTGCTGTCATTATTGTTGTGCTTTCCATCATGTTACAGCATTATCATTAGTTATTGTAATACTTAAAACATGAAGTAAAATCTGTTGCTTTTAAGTGTAGATGCATAAATAAATGTGTAAGTATCTAAGTATTATAATATCAATAAATAATAGAGATCAATAGAAATTTTACTTGAAGACAAAACTATCTCAGCTTTTGAAACAGTAGCTTAAAAAAACACTGAAAGTGATCTTGATTTTTCATCTTTTTATCTATTTATTTACAAAATTTAAGACCTTTGAAGGGTGCTAGTATTTTGTGTTTAAGTATTGATGTCTTACTGTTTGGAAATTGTGTGTTAAAATTGGTTAGCAAATCCTATGGGAAAGTATCAGATTTTGCTTGTAATTAAATATTTTTAATGGACTTACCTTAAAAAGTATGTATTTATTTACAGAGTAGGTTTTGTCATTGTCCATGAATTGTTTAACACAAAAATTACATATACACATCCAGAGTAAGACGTATCTTCTTTGAAGGTGATAAGCAGTATGTTTAAGGAAGAATCCATGACATTGTCTAATAAGGTGATAGAAGTAACCATTTCAGTAACAGTCTCATGATACAAAAGGAGGAATACTAGAATGGTTCATGTTCTGTTAGCTTTCATTTCTGGGATTTAACGGTGGCTATGTTTGTGAAATAAAAGTACTTCAATTATCTGTTGAAAGCTTTGTCATCTTGAAATGTCTTGGGGAGGATGGATGAGTAGTAACGAATTTCTTTTGCTGTTTATTCCCTCTTCTTTGTCTTGTTTGTTTGATCTGTAATATAGTTTCTCCAGTGATACATATCTTTATTATTCAGTCCAACAGCATTCCAGCCCTAATAGTATGTGTGGTAATCAAATATACCACTGTGGTGTTTGTTTTTATTAATGAACTGTACTTGACACTTGCATATTTAGTACAATTGTAGAGTAAGAATTAAAGCTACCTCACTAGAAGAGTAGCATAATGAGAGCTTGTTAATGTTTACATTATACTGCCATAGAGCTCAACGGGAAAAAATTATTTCTGTTCACTGGGAGCAGAGTTCCAAGGAAAATCTATTGCTCCAAAGAGCATTATTACTTTGTAAATGGAGAGAAGGCTTGCTCTACTTCTAGAAGGGAGGTATAGTTCTCTATTCTGTATCAAGTCTGTTCTATTGATACATTGTTGAACCACTGAAGCATTGTGCTCGTTTTTTTCCTATCGATTTTCAGAAAATACAGACTGAACCAGATATGCAGTAAATACAGCTGATGCAAAAAACTTGAATATATACCCTATTGGCTGTATTTTAAACCACTCCGAAGGATGGTATGCTTTGGTGGGGCTGTTCTGAAAATCAGTCACCATATGATGCAGTACCTATTGTGGCCTTCCAGAACTTGAAGGGAGCTCTATGAGCGAGAGGGAGACTGACTTTTTACAAGGGCAAATAATAATAGAACAAGGAGGAATTGTTTAAATCTGGAAGAAGGAAGATGAGATTAGATACTGGGAGGAAATTTTTTTTTCTTTTTTACTCAGGGAGTGATGAGGGGCTGGCACAGCTGCCCATACAAGCTGTGGTGCCCCCTACCTGGAGATGCTCAAGACCAGGTTGAATGGGACCCTGGGCAGCCTGAGCTGGTGACTGGCAGCCCTGCCCATGGCACAGAGTTGGGGCCGAGTAGCCTTTGAGGTCTTTTCCAATCCAGGCCTTTCTTGCTGTTCTTGGATGCAGGGCTAAAGGAGTGTTTGAAAATGTGGATCATGAAGAACATACTCCTTGAAGAGTAATATCAACTTTCTGGATAATCCAGTAGTTCTAGGTAAAATGTGTCTTTGAGATCCTTTCCAATAAGGGGAACAAGAAGAAATTTGCAGTAGTGTGCTAATGGCAATTCAGTCTAAAAAATGTTCGATGGGAAAAAAATGCAAATAGGATATTCCACTTAACACATGCATGTATGTTGAAAACTTTCAAAGAAAACCTGAATGTGGCACAAACTGATTAAAAAGAAGGAAATGGAAGAAACTCTTTTCCTCCAGGCAATTTTAATGAGATTTAACTAATTCTGTGCATCTCTTTTCATTTCTATCCTGTACTGGTACTGTGTATCACTTTATGTATTTGCTTTGGATTTTCTTACTATTTAGTGTGTCTGCAACAAAACTGTAAATGCAATGAATGTGGTAGAGAATTCCAGCAGGCATAGCTAGACAGCTTGTAGGGACAGCCCAAGCTGAGTTAGTAGAATCCTGCATCCAGGATTTTAATCTCACAGGAGTATCAGCAGGGGATGTGGTAGTTAAATCTCTGATTGCGTTTCTACACATTTAAATAGCACCTTATCACGTAGTGGTGTAAGACCCTGCTTTGTCAAGTGTTACTTGCGTAGTTGTCTGCCTTTTTGCCTTCCTCATGACTATCTTTGGGAGTCTTGAAAATAGTAAGTCAAGTAAGAGTAATTATCACAGCTAGAAATGTATACAAGTCTCTTTTTAATGTCATGGTAGAAAATAATATTCTAATAGTACCAAAAAAAAATTTTGTGCGGTTCCATTTGATGTTGTATCCTTGCAGTATTGTTTCCAGATGGTATGTTTAATTTATTCATCTTTAGAGGATTTAAGTTGTAGAAAGTCATAGCAGTAGGTTGTTTGTTTGTTTTTTTTTTAAATCGTAGAGGGCAAAAATATTGGTAAGACTCAACTATTCTGGTGTACATCCAGTGAAGCAGCAAACAGATCAGCCTTCGTGCAACTACATCTATTCATCATCTTTAAGTTACTTCATGATTAGATTAAGATATGGGCATAATACATGAAGCCAGTTCTGACCCTGATTCTTGTTCTTCTCCCCCTTCGTGATTGTTCTGTGGTCATATTTGGGCTCAGGGCCTGCCTGGATCTCACGGCTTCTCCCCTTCTCCATGCCTATGGGAGATTTTTTTTTTTTTAGTGGCCTTTCACAATATGGCTCTGAAGTGTTACTTCTTTCCAAGAAAATAGACTTTGCATTAGATGTGGGCAGCTGGATGATGGAACTGAAGTGAACAAAACTAGCTGCTGTTGTTGCACGCTGTTTGTATATTGAAAGCTTTTTGGTTGTTTTTGAACTGCAACTTTCAAGTTAACTTTATTAAATCCGTCTGTATTTATTGCTTGTTTTTCTGCTATCTTAATTGTCTCTTAAATCTATTTGCAGCTGGGTCTCGGGCATCTTACAGCAGCCAGCACAGCCACCTTGGCTCCGAGTTAAGGGCACTGCAGTCTCCAGAACATCATATAGATCCTATTTACGAAGACAGAGTTTATCAGAAGCCCCCTATGAGGAGTCTCAGCCAGAGTCAGGGGGACCCTCTGCAACCAGCACACACAGGCACATATCGCACTAGTACAGGTAGGTGATTATAACTTGCATGATTGTCTTTTATGAGCTCTGTCTTACTCTTCGCTACTAATTCTTCTCTTTCTGATGAGTTAAACAACGTGGATTGTGTGCATGTCAGTAAAACAAAATACCTGTGTAGATGCAGCTATCAACAGAACCCTAAAAGCATGCACAAAACGTAGAAATGCTTAGTGCTGTATACAGTAGCTTAAGCTAATTTGGAGAGGGGGCTTACTCATAAGGAGAGTGCTTCTATTAATCTTTTGTGTTGTCTTCAAGAAAAAAAAAATCTCTGGAGTAATTGCTATTTTTATTTGCTAGCAAAGTTTGTGTTTTGCAAAGGGACTGCAAAGTTCCTTTCTCATGAAGCTAAAGGATTGCTCATTTGACTTTCAAGTGATTCATATGTATGTGTTCTTCCTCTCTCCTGCACAGGTAAGCTTATGCATAGGATCCCAGACACAAAATTGAACTAAGGCACTGACTAAAGCTGTTAGCATCCCTGTTTTATCCATATAATGATTGCCCATGAAGTACATTGGTGTCATCCTTGCAGAATGTCCACTCAACCAAGTGAAATGTAGTTGTATGTTGAAACTCACAGAGATTCAAATCAACAGGGATATTTATGGTATTGAATACTCAAAATAATTAGAGTTTATATGTGCTACAGCCAAAATAGCCTAAAGCAGTTGTAAGAAAAACTTGCCTGAGGAGTTGCAAGTATTTCTAGTGTTTCGATCAATGCAACAAAAACAAATAGGGAAGATTCTGTCCATTCTCTTGTCACTCCTGTTTTCGTCAAGAAAAAAGTGTTGCGTTTTTGGTTTGGTTTTTTTTTTTTTGAGCTAGATAGTTTACTTTTTAAAAAACTTATTTTATTTTTGAAGTCTTCTAAGGGCAGAGTTGGCAGTTCTTGCATGTCTGAGGTTTCTGATGCTTTATGAAAGTTTTGGGTGTTCAGAGTAAGAGAAATACTTAAAGAAGTTAATCACAGAATTCTTTAGTTAACTACTTAAAGCTTTGTAGTTGTTTAAAGTACTTTAAGCCATTACTTAACAAAAGTAACTTTATGCTTTGTGAAGAGTATTTCCTTTCAGTGAAAGAAACTACAGTAGCACGTTTTGTGTAGACATATTTGTGTGTGTATATATGAAGAAAGATTGCTGTTCTTTCGTGACTGGGACCAAGACTCTGTCTAAGTCACTGGACAGTAGTGGTAGCAAATAAAGCAACTTTTACATTGAGCTTTAATCCTTGCATTCCATGTGCAGCCTCTTTTGTATGCAGTGCACTCTTTCACGATCATGCATTGAATGGATTTCTTGTTTTGCTTGCAAAATGTCCTCTGAGTCTGTGCAGAACTAGCAGGCTTTCTTGTGACTGTTGTCTTCACGGCACTTCTGTAAGTAAGGAAACCTTGTGAAACTAGATCACAATTATAGTGAATGAAACCGGATCACAGGATGTTAGTGGGTAATACATGAAAGCAGCTTTTTCAGAAGGGAAGAGCCCAAAGACATTGGTTTGGATAGCAGAAATGAACCCTGTCAATTTTGTTTTGCTGTATCTGGGACTCAGACTTCAGCTTTTCTCCAGATTTATCCTGAAGAACTGCTACATTGGTCCAGCTCTGTGTTTTGTTGACCCTCCCTCACTTTCATCTCCCCTCCCTAATAATGCTATCACTGGCAGAAACAGGGCTGGAGGCATGCCAGGCTATCCACTGCTCTGCACAGTATGGATGGTTGCTGTCAGCCTTTTGCACAACCAGCCTGAAGAGCAGTCAGTGGTCAGAGGGAATCTTGGGCTGGACACACCAGCTCTCAGGCTCCTTCTGCCACAAATGTGCATGCTTCAGATATGGAGGCTATATATCTTTTCTCAAATTAGTAGAAGAAAGTGGTAAGAATCCAACTTAAGTTTAGCATGTGTACATTCTCAGTTCTTCATTGCCTGTTTCCTATTTCAGACTGAATAGGAATTTGCTTTCACTATTGGTGTAGGAAAGAAGAGTTGTAAATTTGTGTACTCCCTGAAGATAAATGCAGATTGTTCAAATTATGTTTCTTTTGTGTGCATGAAACGCATTGGAGGGCAGGCTTAGAACTTCCTGCTTTTTTTTTTTTTTTGTAGACTGTAGTTCATTCTCTTATGTGTTACAATAGTATCTTTAATCTTAAAGATGGCACGTGGTTTTTTCACATGTGATGGAGAAAAGAGAAGGCAAATGTAGCTGAAGGACTTTGGATGAAGTCTGATTTTGTTGTTTTGTTTTTTTTTTTTTTTTTTTAATCTTCTTTCTCTACAGCTGACATTTCACACCAGAAACAAAAGTTATGCAAATTATACTTGGAAGCCATTTGCTTCTATGACTTCTCTTTTGGAAAGAGAGAACTCCTCCTGAATTTGAAGCTTCCACATTTCTGACGCAGAATGGAGATGTTTCTTCTTTCTTTTTTTAAAATAGGCATCGCCTCTCTCTTTTCTGAGCTCTGAAGTAGCTATTGCATTTGGGAATGTTTACACAACTGAGGATAAAGCCCACTCAGTTTTTCATTGCCTGAGTGAATCAACATGCAGTGAACAGAATTCTAAGATAGTCTAAGATTTCTCTGTGGTGTAAGTAACACACTGTGAATTTAGTGTGCTTGCTACATTTTTTTAGCATGTATTTTTAATTTCATGTTTCACTAATGAATGAAATGCATGACCATAGTTATACACTAAGGGCTACGTATTGCAGAAGGTACAAAGTAGTAGAAGCTTGTAGAACATCTTCTCAGCATAACATCAGATGGGGCAGGACAAATTCTTCATCACTTTGAAGTTCAAGTCATGATTGGGTGTGTTCCTGTCAAGCTTAGCTAAAAATAGTCTTGCAATCTTTACAGCAATGGCTGCATAGGCTTTCTTGGCCTGTAGTTTTATGTAGCAGTCCCTTCTGGCCTTAAAAAGGTTGTGCCTTCTCTTGTAAAAAGTAGTAGCCTAAACTTTTGCACTGCATTTCACAATAAATTTCTAAATTTACTTACTGAGTAGGAATTCATTTGTTAGCTAAATAACACTACTGATTTTTTTTTTTTTCCAAGCAGTCATCTCATTTATTTTTCTTACAAACCTAAAGGCATTGCTTTATTCATTTAAACTGTGAACTAATGGCTGTAATGGTAAACTTATTTGGTGGGATGTTTGCATGAGTGCTGCTGGAATTTGAAGCGTGTTGTTACTTAAGAGAGGAAAAAGATTTGCTTACAGCCAGCACAGGTTGCAGAATCATTATTCTCTCATGCATTGGCTTAGTTTGTGGAATTGGAGGTTAGGTCTAATATTTTAGTCTTATTTAAATCAATTGTTGGCATTTTATTCATGCTAAACATGAATCAAGTCCAAGTTTGTGAAATCTGGCTGTTTTGTAAGCATGAAATTTTTGTAGTTTTTCTGAAGAGAAGGCGATGTGTCTCAGGTACCAGGCTACTGGTTTTGACTTACAGTACAGGAACATGGCTGTGACAACAGTAGGTGCTTTGAGATCAGTTGTTATTATCCTTGTGACAACAGTGACAACACTCTGTCTGGAAATGCATAAAGGCACTTGTCCCTTTCACCAAGGGACCAATGAAAACAAGCCCTCTTCCATAAAAGGATGTGATTTCTTGGTAACATTATTAAAAGCTTTGAAAGAATGATGTTCCCAGCATTCTGGAAATAATGGGATGTAAATATGTTTACCTTGACCCTCCCCAAGCTGGGCCTGGAATTTTATCAGCTGAAAAATGTGCTGCTCTTTAAAAGCAAGACTGTTGCTGGTGAGCTGTGAATGTGTTGAGCTTAGAACATGTTGAGCATTTTGAAGAGAGTTTCTTGGTTTTCAAGGTGAGTATCATTGTCCTCAGCCTCACTCAAGTGGTAAGGAGGAGCCAGCAATTAAACAAGAATGAACCTGTCCTCCCAGCTCTATGAAGCATGTCTCCCTTGTATCAGTGCTCCCCTGATACACTACTGGAGAAAGCTGAAGTGTTGCCTTGGTGCATAGGTCGATAACTGCCTCTGCTCCTGAAGGCCACCATGAGGAATGCGTGGTGGCACAGCTTGATCACAGGAAGTCTAGCAGCTCTGTAGGGTTTATGCAGGCAGATGACATTAGCTGTGAGTGTTGGGTGCTTGGACCCAGTATTTGGAGCACTCTTGTTATTTTCAGAGGTTGAGGGAAAAATCTTGGAGGAGAGGTTGGAGTCTGTGGTGGAACAAGTTTGGCATTCCTGAGGTTAAAAAGAGGATCCCAGAATGAAATTTCTATTGTGAACAAGGTCAGGTGGTGGAAAGATAAGCAGTCAAACTTTGCATTGGCTTTGTATGGTAACTTAGCATAGGAAGCAAAGTGTTTATAAGAAGCATGGTTTCTGGGCTGGGGTGCGTGTGTGTAGCAAGGGCTCTCCTGCATTGCTTCTCCTTGCTGCTTTTGAAGCTGCCTGATGTCCCTGTGTACTGCAGCTAGGGAGCTTGCAGCCTCTCCTGTCGCCTCCTGTCCTTTAGATCAGGTCTGAGCATGCTCACACCAGCACTCTGTGGCTCCATCAGCATAGTACTTCTGAAGATCTTATATTAAAAGCTTTGATGGCATGATCTGTTTGGGCTCCTGAGTGCTGTGTTAGAGGATACTCTTCAAAGAGAAGAGGCCTATGAAATTTGTGACAGCAAATGCAAAACAGAAACATGGCTCTTTGTTGGCTGGATTTGTGTGAGGAGGGAGGCCACCACCAGGAGCAGTGTTGCCATGGTGAGTCCAAGGGGAGGTTCTTTGGAGGGAAGAGCTTTCTGCAGTTGACCTGTCCTGTGCCAGGAGGATGTCACGCTTCAGCAGCAGTAACCAGGCAGGAATGTCCTTGCTGCAAGCGCTTTCAATGATTGGTGTTTGCTTTTGGTCTTCAGTGAAGGGCACAGGGGGCAAACACAGCACACACACAAACACCAGGCATAGAGCCTGTTGCTCCTGGTGTCTGTTCTGG